CCATAACCTTACACCATTTTGAAATGTGACCATTTCATCTTCATTTGATCCATGACAAGGACTCTATCAGTCACTCGGATTGCTTAAGTTCCTTGATAGTCTTCTAGCAGGGCTGTTGTGTATCAGTCAGTGTCAGATCATGGTGTATGGTTGAAGAGGAGTGAGTCTAAGAAGTTCAACGGAGCAAGGAGATAAAGCCAATGAAACATTCTAGCCTCTTTTAATTAACTTTTTATTAAAAAAAAAGTTAACTTTTAATAACTTTGAAGAGTTGGCTTAGAAATCCTTAACCTGGGAATAGAGGCAACCTTGTATTTGAAAGAAAGAAATGTGAAAGCCATTTTGACTCTGTGAATGTCACAGAAACTATCTCAAAAAAAAATTGGTTTAATAATATTGCCAGTTTCATGAAGAAAAAACACATCTTGAGCGGGGTGCAAGTTACTGAGCCTCAGAGTCTGTCTTTCACCAGAATGAGTGGATGATAACCTTTCTGACTAAGTGTGAACTAATTGACTTCAGCGTTGCATTCCAGGTTTCAACCTGTCAGGCTTTCAGTCAGGATTTACAGCCGGAGATCCTCCTCCTTGTGATGGATGGTCCAAGGGAGAAGACAAATATAGTCGGGAACTCTTCAGTGACAGATCTGTGTCAGGGTTTTGGAACAACTTCTTGGTGCCAGTGGGCACTGCGGCTTCTTAGGAAAGAGTCATGAAATCTTCTAGGCTAAGGTACATGTTGTGAATACAATATAAGGAGAGAACTGTCTCTGGGAGAATGTGAGCAAAATTTGGGAGGTTTGTGCAGGATCGTGGGATAAGCTTGATTAGCGGAGCAGAGAATGTTTCACCACTTTTGTGCCGTGGTGTTTTGTTCATGAGGAAAATGCATGTTGGCTGTATATTTGGTGTAAAACATCAGTGCATCGCCTACTGAGTGCTTTCCTTGTTGTAAGTAATAAGAGTGCACAGAGATAGGAAGTGGTTGACAGAAATTAAATGTGAACTGTCAAACTGATGAGACTGGTTCTGTCAGGGGATGAAACTCTTATTTTGATGGTGTGGGTTTTTTTTTTGTCCCAATGGCTGCTCAAAATCTCAGTATGTTACTGCACAGTGCATGCATGGAACAAACCTGCCCCCTCCACCTTCACCCCAGGAGCCGGGTAGAACTGTCTTCACTTCCCCAGCCTATTTGGCCTCTTCATAAGCTCCATTAAGGATGTCTGGATTATTCCCTAGCTTGTAGAACTGTCTTTTTTTACGTTCATTACAGCACAGTCTTGAAGTAAATCTTTTCGTATGGCTGTTGTGTCTGAAAGTATTGCTGCAGGTGTCAGTCAGAAAGTACCACACAGAGTTACATTCTTCTCTGTTACTGGTCACATACTTTTGGAACTAGTTTTCATTGCAACGTTAAAAGCACCCTCTACACTGAATACAAAAAGATTTACTGCATACACGATGAATGTAACTAAGACTGGCTAAAAATTGTTGTGGTATGTATAGAAAAGCCCTTTTCTATACTTTTCATTAATGCCTGGATGAACAACAGTGTCTGAACTGACACTGAAAATAATAGAGGCTGGACATGAATGTGGTAGATGTCTGTTCTGAAAAGCAGGTCAGTATGTGTGTAAGAAACTGAACTGGCAGCCTAGAGTGAAAATGCTAATGCATAAATAAATAAGGGAATTGACTGTTAGAGTAATCAGAAAAGATAATGTTCTAATTCTTGCTTTGAATAACTAACAGGCAATTAACTTTCATCGACTCATGATGTAAAAAGTGATGGAGAGACATAGATCCTTTGCTATGGTAAGTCTGTCAGTTGGGAAGAATGTTTTTCTTGACAGTTGATTAGGGGTTAAATGAGCTGAATAAAACTGGTAATTTTTGCTGCTTTTCCCACTTAGTATAACAGCTATTATATGAGGCATTTTTCCTTACATTAGTTGTAATGACTGGCTTTAACTTATTAGCCCCGTTGGAAGAACTGGGTTTGGTTGACAAAGATGTCATTTTGGTATTCTCAAGATCTACAAAAATGGCTGGTGCATATAGAACCTGGACCAAAGTATTTTTATTATTTATTGAATTGGATAGATTTGGGTTTGCTCTTAAGCAAACTGCTGCTCCTAGGGAAGTACGTGCTTGGTCTGGCCATGCAACTGCTTAGATGGTGAGGGAGGGAGCAGCAGCATCTCGTACCCCCATAATGTGGTACCTGCCTGTGTCTATGGGGAGCTACACTGCACCCCATTTACCGCAGCTCCTGCAGACCAAGCAGGCACCACCTCACAGCACATCTGTGAAGCCACAGGCACAGACTCCAGTCATTCACCGCTTTGGAAGAGCAACAGCTCTCCGAGTCGCCAGGCCCAACCAGGAGATATTGGCCTGCTCTGGCTGAGAAAGGCATCAGGCCGTTTGGTGCTCACTGACTCTAGACAGCATGAAAAAAGGGGCTGGGGGAGAAGAGGGCACCTTCTGAGCAGTGGCAATAGGGAAGAAAGTCAACCCTGAAAATCAGCACTGATGCTTGGTGAGGCTTACATAAGGAATGGCTGTGGTTGGACTGGTGCCTGTCAGTATTACCACAGTGTGGTTCCCGAAAGGAATGGGCATGGTTCTTTTGAGAGCAGGGAAAAAAGCAAGGGCGGGGGGATTGCTGTGGAAAATGGTTGCATAAAACAAACAGGGCTACAGGTTTGGAGGTGTGTGTGCATTTTTTGTTGGGTTTTTTGGAAGGTTTTGAGCTGTTTCTCTTCATAGACTCAGAAACTTAACTGTTTTTCAATAGTTTTTCGTTTGTGGAGTCACTTCCTCCTAGGCCTTGTCCCCCACCCCCCGCAGTTTAATCTCTTACTTAATGGTGTTTAGTCTGCAAGAGGCTTGATTTTAATTTTATGGACAGCTTAGAAGTAGCTCTTGAATGTAGTTTAAAATATACCATGCCTCTCCACACAAAAACTTCAACCGTGGCTCTAGCACAATTGGCTTCAAGAGTACTGATGTGGAGGTAACTACTTGGAGTTTTTGTCTTGGTATAGAAACCAATCCATGTTTTGATAGAGAATGATGTTTTTGGAGGCAAATAATCAGGCTTTTGGGAAAACAAGGTAATGGTTCTTCATCCGCAGTAGAGGTGGGGAATTCATCTACTGGAGCACTGCTGGTTGGGACCATCTGACAATGGACCAGTATTTCACAGCCCCTCGAGAGGTGTTGTGCTATTACACTTGAGATACTTCAAAGTTTCTGATTGTGCTAAAGTCCTAGAGTGAAATGTCTTTTCAAAATTTTAGATCAAAAGAGAAATGCTAGAACATCAACAGGAAATAAAACATTTTTATTGAATATCTGTGTAATATGTATGTTATTTTAACGACAATTGGAAAACTCTACTGTGGGAAGTCACTACACAAAGTGAAACAAAATATAAACCACCTCATCAAAAATGAAGGTAAAATACGGCTAAAGTTGTCAGCTCGTGGGCCACGAGCAGTATGGCAGGATAAAACACCCCAAACATTTCTACAAGATACAGAGAAAACCCACACAGAGAAACACTCAAGCAGGCAGTAAATATACACAAAGGCAACTAGGATCTTTCTACAGCATCAGATTCTAATACTTCACACAGCTTTGTCAGAAAGGTACATGTGGCTTCTTTGAGGATGAAAATGTCATCTTGGTCACAAGGCAGGTTCAGTCTCTGAGAATCATCGTACCTGACAAACCAGTTCTGTGGTGACGTTCAGTCTGGCAGTGTAGGAAGAGAAAGCATTAAGAATACCTTAACACAATGACCGAGTCCTGGCAGTTTGAACCTGCAGCTATCCTGGATGAACAACTGAAAGTTGGAGACCATGAAGCTCTTACGCTGGAAAGCTGTCTACTTCTTCTCTTTGGTGGGGTTTGGTCCTTAAGGTTGAGATTTTAAAGTATTCCAGCTTGATGCTTTGCATGTTATGTGCCTGTTTCTATCAGAAAATGTCTCGCTTGTGTTTTTTCCGTGTTTCATGTAAAAAAGAAAGAAAATGGGTCTTGCTACTCTCACTTTTGGAGGTGGGGAGAGAGCCAGACTTCTTTTTCCTCCTCCCACTTTTACCCTCAACGTACTGAAAGCACGGGTGCTCAGCCACGGCTGCACTGACCTCAGGCTGTCACACTTCTCCCCAAAACAGAGCCTCGAGGGAGGCTGTGGGATGTAGTTTTCGGTACAGAGTTCTCTGGCTACATTCATCTTTGTTCTTTGCTTTCAGTGACTTCTGTTAGATACAATCGATAAGAACATTAATGGTTAATTCTCAAGCCTCCCTCCAAAAGGTGCAGCATTTCCACATTTCTGGGGTAGTTTTGCATTGCTGAAAATAACGAACTCTTCAAAGCGTTATAAATATATTCACAGCTTGTAAAGATAAGCTAGGGGCCTCAAAGGACATTACACGAGATAGAAGTGATGCCCTAAATGACGTGATGAGATGGTGCAAGCTGAGATGACGTGCTGGCTAAGCTGCAAGATGACTATCTACAGGAAAGCAGCGGGGCAGGGGGGGGAGGGAGGTTGGAAATGTGGAGTATTGCACAGGGCTTGACAAAATGCTGCGTGGTCAACCCATTCAATATAGCATCCTTGTCCCCTGCATAGCTCTCCAGTTCTAAATTGGTCCGTAATAACTAGAACTGCTTGTGCTATGCATTCCTTCGGCAGTGCAGTAGAAGGGAATGGCAGTATTATTACAATATCACTACGGAATAAATTGATTGCTATCCACTGAGAAAACTACATTTCTAAGCACACACGGCAGTCACAGTGATACACAGAGCAGTCTTTCAAGACTCTTATGGAATGACTAATAGCTTCATAATAGTGCCATTTACTACATAATAACATTGAAAACATTTAAAAACTCCTCCTGAAACGAGCATCTAGTATACAGAAGAGGTTGCTTCAGTTTTCTAGAACTTGTTCTTTGTTTTCACTTTTTTTTTTTTAAAGGACAAATTAAAACTTAAGTATAAATAGTATATAAAAGGTCACTAGCTGTTCTCTTTTGGCTTACTTTGAAGTGCATTTAGAACTATGGCTAAATTTTGTCATCTTCTGATGGGATTACAATACTGTCTGTTTACCATGAAACTATTTTGTATAATAAACTCACACGGCTGTGTCTAAAAAATATTCTGCATTCCTTCTAATCTGAGTTAGTATAATAAAATATTTTGTTACAAAGTCTAATGTGCAAACTCATTATAATGTGAAATCGTGGATGGAATTCACAGTATGCAAATTTTGTATAAAGGTGATAACGGAGAGCTACTCTTGTTTTCACAGCAGCGTTTAGCTGCTGCTGCTGCGTCTCCCCCCGCCCTTCCTCCCCTCCCTGCACAACCTCTGCAGTGGTCTTCGTAGGTTAGATGAAATCGTTGCCTCCTATGGAACTGCTTCCTCAACTTTCAATCTAAAGCCATTTCAGTCTGTTACGTTGTTTGCTTTGGAATATATACAAGAAAATTATATCCTGGCTTCTGGCTACGTCTCCTTGAGGTCAGCCATGGAGCTGCTCAGATCATGCTAAGTTGCCCATGAAAGAAGTCTACCCAGTTGTTTTTACCCCTCCAAGATTCACTGCGGACGCGTAGCGCGTTATTAAGATGGTCCAGTGGAAAGCTCAGATTTAAGTTGTCCTTTAAGATGTCAGTGTAACACTACTAGTGCCTTACAAGTTGGATTTTTTTTTTCTGGAATGCAGACGATACAATAGTTACCCTATAATATATTATCAGCTCTCCTATATCTCAGTCAATTTACATAATTTAAAATAGAACATCTTATTAAAAACATCTAGATATACACAGATTAGGAAACGCTTACAACATACAAATACACAAACTAGAAATAAATTCTCAGCATACTGGTGTATATATACAACTGTGTGATACAATAAATAATTTCTGTCATGCTCTATCTACACATCATATTGCTTAAAAGAAGAGTAGATCTGGGGGGCAGTGGTGAAATGAAACGCCTTTAGAGGGCTCTCTACATTTAAATTTGTGCAAATTAAAACAGGAATTTAAAAGTACAGCTGATCTGTGTGAGTAACACATGGCTGGAAATGAAAGGACCCATATTACTGAGGTATTTACAGATACTGGCTAAAGAGCACTATGTGGGCAAATTCAGAAAGGCTTCTTCTTCTTTTTCTTCTTCCTCATCTAATTGAATTGAATTTACTTCTTGACTGCCAGCATGGCATCTACCTCCTCCTCGGGCTGTAAGGTGTGCCACTGTGCAATGGGCCGCCGGGGGTTGGCCAGCATGTCTGACCAATGCCGCAGCTCCGCTCCGGTGCTGTTGTAGCCCACAAAGACTTTCCCGATGGCATCGTTCTTGCCAATCTTGTCATAGTCCAAAACAGTCACAACAATTTGCACTTTCTACAATGAGATAGAGAAAGACCAGTGAGCAGGACAGTAAGGGGAAGGGGGACAGGGGTGACTCTTGGGACAGACAACGACAACGGAGACTCTGTAAAGGAGGTAAGTGGGTGACAGCAGGTTCCCCCACCAAGAAGTAAATTGTAACTTTTGTCTTTGCTTCCTGTGAGCCTTCCAAATAAAATTAAATTCACAACATTCCTGTTAACCTGAAACTTGCCCTCTTGCATTGAAAAGCTTCATATGAGAATCGAGGTTGATTTTTTTCCTTTAACAGATTAAAACCTTAAGGATTTTTTGTTATTATTGAAGACTTAAGAGTGCTAGAAATCTGCAGGGCTAAAGCAGAGATCTTAAGGTAAACTAACTCAAAAGTAGTGCAATTCAACACACCATTATTGTTTAAGTAAGTAAATAAGCAGCTAAAATTCAGAAACTGCTCTACCCCAAGTTAACGTTCGCAGTGTCATGCTCTATTCTGTTAATTGCTTTTCTCCTCAACAACTCTTACCCGTCCATCCAGCACGCTAAGCAGTTACTGTCAGATAAAATCAGAAGGTAGCCCTTAGGTTTACTGTGTGCATACGCACACTCACATACTCACCTGTGTGTCTGCGCACACGTGTAGGTATGTGTATCCTGCGTATATTCTATATATTTACAAAGGAGTCTAGAAAACAGCTGCATGCTCAGGGGAGTTGGAGAGAAGTATAAACCCACTGTCTCAGGGCTCTGACACTCCAGCACTGCCTACGCCTATGCCGGTGTTGGAGTGCCACTTCTGCCGTAGGAACGGTGACCTCTGGAAAATGGGGTTAAACTATTCCCACAAAATCTGCGTGAGCCCATCTATCACAGCTCACAGACAATTTTCCATTCACTTAGACTGGGGCACGCTGGGAGGTGATGTTCAAGGCAGGCATTTGTGTACACATTTGCGTGCACACATTCCTCTCCTTTAGGTCATTAATATTTGTCAAAAAAGCCCAAACAGCTATTCCTTCAGTGAAATGTTCTTCCCTAACAGCACCTAAGATGTTAACAGCCTTGGGCTGATTTTATTAAACTGTAAATGCTTCTCCTTAGGGAACTTTATTTTTAAAGATGAACATAGAGTTCTTTTCCTGATTCCTTTCTATCCCATGATAAATACACACAGCTTCTTATTGCAGTGCGAGTTTCCTGAATTTGGAGGAAGAAATGTGCTGAAACACATTTCTTCCAGAAAAATATTTTATTCTCAAGAGTCAGGTATTTAAGCCTTTAAATATACATACAATCTGGACTTCTTACCAAAATTGTTAATTTTGGTGCTTTTAATAGGATTATCTTTTATGCATATCTGCAAGACCAGACTCATGAGGTCTATTTTATAGTCCTTTACAAGATTGTACAATTCACTGAGCCAGAGAAGAGATGATTCCAACAGGCACTAAAGTATTTATATAGCTGCTGATGACAAAAGTGTACATCAAACTCAAGACTCTCTCTCCCCAGAGCACTCTCGATAAAAGGCAATATCCTGAAGCATGTATTTCTAGATGCCAAAATGATGTTTCAGTGTTGCTGCTCGCAATATACTCACTTTTAATGTTGATGGTACCTCCCCAAATGAACATTTATGTTTTAGATGCATGGTACAATCAGAGATAAAAAGTAAGCACGAGACTATTATTTTATGGTACAAAGTTGCCTGCTGTACCTAGAAGCTCAGGGGCCAGTTACTATTGTTTTTTTTTTTTTGCTATTAATCATAAGACAGCAATGAACACTGTAACCCAAAGACTGTCTTCCTTGCTCTATAAAGATGTAAGAACAGCTAGCTCGGATGATTAACACTGGGATGAGTTTCACCTCATGGTCTCTGGCTTAAACCTACAGAGAAACGTGACCATCTCTGCCTTTGTACCATATATTAAAGGAACAGCTGCACTGCAAAACCCAACAGGTGCCAGTGGAAAGCATCACCTCTGCTACTAAACACTTAGATTAGCAGTTGCCTCTTTGTGTTTCGGCATTCTTTGGACTGAAAGGGCCTGGAGATGTTGCTACCTACGGAGGCAATCTGTCTTGAAAAAAGCAAAATACATGCTTGATCTGCCTGTAGCAAAAGGATTTGACTTCCTGGTGGTGTTCTCCCATTACCTTTCAAGACATCACTTTCTTTCTCTTAACAGCTAGAATCCATATTCACTATTAAATTGTTAGAAATGTTTGGCCCATTTAAAATTACAAAGGTGCGCTGCTATTGAGCTCCTTTTACCCTCCGTGATCTCCCTTGCCTTTGTTCTCTAACCATCAGGAAACTTGTATAACCATTATTTTTTTATTTGACTGTGAAAGTTTGCTTATTGACTTTTATATGAATTACCCCAAAGTCATAGTGATTCTTACCACATTAAGTCTAATTAACATTTAAACTGTGTTTTGCTAATGGTAAAATCACTTCAGTAACCATGATGAAATCACCTCTAAATATAGCCTTTCATAACTAACTCCAAAATACACTGGCGTATGACCAAAGTCCATAATTACAGATTTTTAAATTGAGAAGATATACTGAAGTAAATAGCTATAAAGTCATTCTAATAAACTTATCCAAAAATGCACGAAACATTAAACTGCTAAACCACAATACTTTTTGAAGGGCCTATGATCCACTTTACAAAACTGATTTAGGATTAGAAGGCAAAATGGCCAAGCACTTAAGCATGCCAAAGCTCGGATCTGATAACCTGGACATGCCCATTCCAGTTCCCTAGTCCTGTCCCTATTTGGAAATAAAGACATTCGTTGCCTAAATTGCCAGAGAGGCTTGATTTGATTGATCTTTTTTTGCCTCTGTGTCTTTGATGCTTGTTATGAGATTTTTTTTTTCCCCACAAGCACACAGACCAGCCTTCATTAAAGTCAAGGGGAATTAGGCCCCACTAGATTTCCCACATTTTGATTCCTGGAGTCCACAGACACCTGTACATGCTGTGGGGCATGAAGAAACCCCTACACAGGCTTGTCATGCATCCAAGTCAGTATTCCTAGACCCTCACCTTGTCTAGTTTTATTACTTTTGTTGGTACCATGTCAGTAAAAACCAAGCACCCAGCTTTAGCTGAAACGTAGGCCTTGTCTCCTGGGCTTCTCTCCAGTACAGCTGCTATCAAAATCCAAGTGACAGTATCTCAAAACCTGTACCATGCTCTCATTTAATCAAGAGGTATATGTGTGTCCCTGTTGTCTGGAAGTTCTCCCAGGCAATGTCTTCTGGCTCCAAATCTGGCCCAAGCTATTGAAACCATCATAGGAGCAAGGCACCTAACACCTACCCAGACCTCTCTTACAAGCCACAAAAGGATGTATTCTCAGACTGTTTTAGTCATGGTCATTCAAACTGGGAGGCCCCTGAAAGCACACTTTCCACACTCAGCCCCACTCAGAAAAGCTATAGTCTTGCTTAGCATCTCCAGAGCTCCCTGGGGCAGGCGGGAAGCCAACATGCAGTTCTTTTTTCTTCTGAGGATATTTAAAATCGATACCTCTTGTCCTGCCAACGAATGCTCTAACAAGTGAGCAAAAGAACAAAATGATTTAACACATTTAATGGGGAAGGTTTTACAGAAGTGGAGGAGGCCTGTACTAACCAATCTTTACGTGCTTTACATCACCTAGATCTGACCAGAGACCAAAGCCTCTCCCTTTCCAAGCAAACCACCCAACTAACAGGTCATCTTATGCTCCGTGGCCAATCATACACTTATTATTTATGCAGAAATGATGCTGTGCTCCCAACACAAGCCATAGGCAACAACAGTACTTGCTTAAGACATTAAAGACATGGTTCAAATTCATTTAGGGAGGGGAGTGAACTGCATGTAAGTTTTCCAAATGCCTCCTGAGATGGTTAAGATGACCCTCTCTCGTGTGAAAACGTTAGTTAACATCAGAAGACGTTAAATCTCACTCTCATAAGTGAGAGATGAGTTGCCCCTCCCAGTGGCCTAAAGGTAGGTAACCGAGTCCCTGTAAAAAAATTACATGATGCCTCAACCTGGTAATTTCCACTGCTAATGTAGGTGCCTTCCAGCTCACTGTGCTGACTTCTGAGGCCCCTAATTTTAGGCGCTGAACTCTCCAGGAGTAGCACTTGGACAACAGCTGGAGCTCCCCTGAGGTTCCAAGAAAACAGGCACTACAGTACTGACCCCTGAGATTCCCAAATGTCTTTTTCCAAGGAGCATAGGAATCACCAAATACCGTTTTCATGGTGTGGTGAATAACGGAAAAAACCTGACTGTATTTCCTGTTTTACTTAAGAGCGATGCTGCAGTATTTTCAACAAACAGGACAAATAAATGCATAGAGAACACAAATGTGACTGATGATGCCAATTTTGTATTTCAAATAATTTGGGGAAAATCGCTATATATGCCTTTTCTTTTATCCCTCTACTTTTTTTTTGCTAACACATTCCTTCACCATCTCCCTGTGGATTTTTTTTTTTCCAGAATCCATTTCTGTTAACAGAAAATGTCAGTTATCCATTTCTCACTGATGAATCAAAGCTTCATAAGTACTGTGCATTTTCTCATTTCCCTCTTGAAGCAGTCACACTCATCTAATGTAGCACAGGGCTGGCACCTAGGTGCTAATGAAGGCATGCACACGTGATAATTAACAAGATTCCTGTTAAATATTTATAAGGGCTGAGAAATGGGATGCAGAGGGAAGACAAAACACTGTTTGACATTACCTGAATTTGCTCAAATGGTACTTCAAAGCTGAAAGACTCATTGTAGTAGGGATTCAGAGTGTTCTTTTTAATTGTAGTCTTTTTCTTCTTCAGCCTCTTACCATTCTGCATCAGATGGATCTTCACATAGGGATCTAAGTAATCAAGAGAAGAAGTAGAGCTAAGAAGGGTAGTTCAGTGTGTTATCTACAGATTTCAACCCTGCAAATTTAAGACTCGATTTAAAAAAAAAAAAAAGAACCTTCAGCAACAGACAGCTTGTGTTTAAATGAAATCCTAATTTCCACTATAGAAAAACTCCTGCACAACTGCAAAGTGTTCTGATGGAAAAAGGTACAAAACTTGCACTTAACACTATGTGGCAGGGGTAAATTCCCATCTAACTGTTCTGTAGCCCATTATCACAGTGCAGTGTCTGTGGGTCTGTGCACAGCATTAGGGGGCACTGCCCTTTAAATACCAGTCCTCCACTGCAGCACTACATGCGGCCAGAGCAAGGCGCAGGCACTGCATTAATTACATATTGGCATAAATTGCAAATTGGTTTTGCTAATATCTGTTGAATTCCCATTATTATTTTGTATGACTTCCGGTGGCTAAGGAATAGAGCTGATTTGGTACTCAATTAGGTATTCCTCAGGCAAGCAAACCTCTCACGGATGTTACTGCCACGGGGTGACATCCTGGCAGTCATACTTCCAAAGAAAATGTTGCCTGCTTAAAAGAACAGCACTGTTGGGTTTATATCTGTCACCAGCACCATGTTCCTATTCAGAAAATGAACTAGCAGTTCTTCTTTCATGGTGGTGTTAATTAGCAGTACCTTCACTGAACTCAGTTGTTTTTCTGTTCAGGCCTACTGTGAAGTACCAATTGACCTCAAGCTCACCCTTTTCAACAACCTGTATGGTACTGTCACCAAAATGTGGCTAGGTACCTCCCTTGGTTTTAGGCAGCTGAACTGTGATGTAGGTAGAGGCAAGCCTTCCCTCTGGTGAGCTCCTAAGGGCTATACAAAGCACCAGCCAGCCACAAGTCATCTGTGGCATAAATTAAGAGAGCCTGAATGCAAACTATCAAAGGAAAGAGCTTCTCCTTTCCCTCTAGAGAAGAGGATGGGGCTACAGAAGAAGAATGAGAAATTAACACTGAAATGAAATATTTTCACTATGACCAAACCATGCTTTATGATTCTGCAGTGAAATTGATGCTTAGAGTGTCTGAGAAGAATAACTGCATTCTGCTATGGTCTTCACAGCTTTACTGTGGAAGACCTAGGAGTTCAGGACAGTTAAATTACTGGAGTGACTTGATCACAGTCTACAGTATCTCTGAAGGGAGCATACTTTTGGTATTGGACTCTTCAAGCCAGCAGACAAAGGTACAGTAAGATCTAATGGCTGTGAGGAGACAAATTTAAACTTGGAAATAGGCACATACTTTACTAGTAAGACTACTGAAACAGCTGGAGAAGATCCTCAGTGTTTGTGGTGAACTCTATTACAGAGGGTTAAGGTCCTTTTCCCTCAACAGACTCAAGTTCAAATAGAGATTAAATCTGGGTAAGTTTATGCTCGAGGCTAGACAGGGGATTGCAAGGGTATGCACAATGTATGAATTGAAGAGTATCATGTGAAAAGCAGAAATGCTAGCAAAAGGCCAACAGAGTTCTGAGCACTGAGTTCAACATCACTGCAAACAGGGTTTTGAAGGTGGAAAACAGGTAAATCTGGACCCATGGGTCAAGTACCATTTGACATTAGGTGGTACTTGAGAAAAGCTCATCTCCCTTATTACTTTTGCTGAGGCTCCATGCTGAATGCACAGGTGTTTTGTCATACATAGTGCCATTTTAGGCACATCTGATCTAATATAGAGTAAGAAAGTTCAGTAGTCAAGGAGTCAGTGGTAAAGTGTGCACATATGGAAATGAGATAAGATTCTGTCGAAATATGATTTGAGTATCTAGAGTGAGCTGGGATGCTAAACAGTGCAGTAATACATTATTATTAAGGGGATTAGAACTGAAGAATTCTATTAAAATAAATGCAGTCGATATAAGTCAATCCTTTACTGAACTGTGCTTGTGCACAGGCAATATACACAGGTCTGATGATTATTCATATGTCCATTAGGAACTGTATAGTAATGATTTATATAGCGATGCAGATATATTCCTATCTTGATAAACATTCCATATTTTGGAGAAAAATATTTTAAAACTGGAATTCAAGTGTATGTGAATGCTCAGGGTCTACGTGTACATTCACGTTAAGTGATCTGCTGCTATTGACTCACTAGATTTTCTATCTTCATTCTGGTATTAGAGCAAAATCTGACCCCAGACAACTCATGGCCATGGGACAAGGCCCAGCAGCTAGGTTTTGGTGGTTTCTTTTCCATGTCCTGATCAGCTTCTTATGTTTGTCTGTCTGGGGATTTGAGTTAGGCTCAGTCAAATGCCAGGTTTTTAGTCGCAAAGATCCCAGTGGTGCTGGATTTCCATGGTAGTGCAGAACTGTCAGTGACACACATCCCAAATGCAGCACAGAAGAGGACCGATCATATGATACAATATCCTAATTTTTTTCATCCAAGGGATAAATTTTCATGCCAAACCAAATGCAAATTGTATATCACCTAACTGCAATCATGTTGCTTCTTTTCTAGTTTCAGAGGAAAGTATTAAATAAGTTTACTCATCACAAAACCACTGCAAATCAGAACAGGGTGTCCAGCTTAAGTGGGTGGGCCATTAGAGATTTCAACTGTGTTTCTCCTCATTAGAACATACATCCACTTACTATTTCTTGAAGTACCCTGGTTTTACGTAGTTCTTCCCTCTCTTAATTTCTTTTGTCTCATATATGACCCCCCTCCACCACTGCATTCTCTGCAGTTACAGTCTCCCATATCCCATGAGATTATCCGTAACTCCCTCAACACTCCATTAATCCATTTGCTTGCAATCTACACAGACAGCCGGATACCTAAGCACAGACTTTCTTGTGACTTCATGAATAAAACTCTAAAAAAGCCAGATTCTGCTCCACCGAATAACAGAAGCTGAACTGCTTGGAGTCAGTTATTAGAGGAAGGGAGGATAATCAAAAGACAGCAGAACCTCTGGGAAGTGCCAGTCTCCAGTGATTTTCCCGAGATAAGGTTTAGTGCTAATGGAAGCATCTCTTCTCTCTACTTGCAACATAACCTCAGTTCTGGCACCATTACTCATGCTGAGTAATACTTTAGTATGTAAATAGTCTCACTGAATATGTGAGACTAGTAAGGATGACAGAACTGATACTGCGCCCTAGCAGTGATAAATTGTCTGTTAAGTGCATAGCCTGGGCATAAAGGGCAGAATTCTTTTGACCAAGTAGAAATGTCTACATCTGACGCCAATGAAAATAAATAAGCATTTCTCTTTAGGTACTCGGTATAGTTTTTCATTCCAGAGAAAGTATCTGTCTTTGGTCAAATAAAATGCACCCCAAAATATTTATTTCTCTCCAGCGATACAAGACATCCTATTCGCTCTAATGTAAACAGTTACACTGAAGAAATTTCAGGTTAGAAGAGTTAGAATATCACTCTGTTTACTCCTCCAGTTTTATTCCTTTCAAGTAAAGAAGGATTTTGATCCGCATTACATCCACAGGTATATATGGATGGACATTGCCCATCAATCTGAAAGAATGGATGTTGCATCCAGAGCACTATGGATGTCCCTCTGCCAAAGGGGACAGAATGGCTATGTGTCCTTTGCTTAATAATTCATGTTAAGCAATATATGGGATTAAATAAAATTCTGCTATTTATTCCCTCATTAACAGTCTAGCCATGAATGCTAAAAAGATGCAAAATTCAAAACTGCATTGTAGGTTTTACAACAGCATCTCAAGGGAGGCCAGCTGAACAGCTTTAAAAGCACTGAGGGACTAGCTGACACATTTTGTTTTCCTGAAGTTTGCAGGAAGATGCCAATACATTATTTAAAGGATAACTGAAATGGTATGTAATAGCAGGTAAAGACTTCTGGAGTCATTTGGAGTGTGAGCCATCTATATACAATTAGAACCCTCTAAAAATAATGACTAGTTCATGATCACTGTGTTGTAGACAAGATGCACTTCATTATTAGAGGTCTTAGAAAATTTACAGCTGAAAGAAAACACTACAACTTGAAGAAAATCGTGGCTAAGGACAATATGTGAGGAAAAAGTGGAACTTGAGAATAACTGCTTGTCAGTGGATTTTAAGATGAAAAATTTGTTACAGGGATCTATAGTTAATGAAAATTCATTCTCCACCTAGATAGGACAGAATTCAACACACAAATTTCCAACTGTATGCATCTTCAGCAGAAAAGTGGCAACATAGTGCTCTGCTTTGCATGGTTTTACTACAATGTTTTGTTCTGAACTCAAACATAAGGACGATGCTGTTCTTCGATAAATATTTGTAAGGCTTCTGTAATCTAATTAAAATATGAAAAGCAAGTGCCTAGAAACTTGGACAAATTTGAGAAATGATACAGGGATAACACTGGACTTGATTGGGTGTGCAAATGCAGCCTACATGTCACGGGAGCCAAATGGTTTAAAGAAAAAAATCCCACCAGCTCTGTGTGGTGGGATCACAGAAAACCCTCTAAAAGCCTCGAGTAAGCCTAACACAATTAATAGGAACAGAATTGAGCCACAACAGACTAGCCATAGATAGAGCAGAATAAAGTTTCATATGACAAAACGCTGTAATAAAAAGTTCTTAACTCAAAATATAGAAAACGAGAAGAAATATGCTGCCAGCATTGCCTCCATCTATTTTTGTCTTCAAATGTTCGGGGTAACTGAACTGGGTGCTAATTAGCACATGTTATTCCCCATCAGAAGAAAATTTATGCCAGACCCGTGCCAAAGCACACACTGTTGACATTTAGAGCAAAGGTGTCAGCAGACAGTAGAGTTTCCATTCCAGGAAGCAGAACGAATTCCTGAAGAATTCAGCAATTGATCTAGTAACTGCAGAAAATGAGGTTTGGAAATGCAGCCTTTTAAATGGCTCTGGAAACACGGATAGAGGTGACTTGCAGGATGGATCGTTAGTTCCATGCTGAAGAGCCATAATCACT